CCCCACGATCGCCCCAAGCTCGACGAGTAATTTCACAAGATTCCATTTCGGCGCTTATTTCGCTACGGCAACCGGAACCTAATGCGGACATAGAGCTTCTAATTTACCCGGCCATAAGAACTTGGGGCGTCCGTGTGCCAGCGGCTGACAGGTCTTCGAATTTCGATAGGGTAAGTACTTACGATTTATTTTCTTGTCTATGACTGGTGGATTTTGCTTGAAAGGCCATCAATGATTGGCTGTTGAACTTACGATCTCTTAACTCTTATTGAAAGTATGGGCCCTGGACTTTAAAACTTGTGTCGCGGTAATTACGAAACGATATATACGAGACATATAGCTATAAAACGAGACGTGACGTAACGAGACGAGACATGTCTTAAATATTCAAGGCAAAACAAGATATTCCTTACTATACCAAAAAAAGAAGCATTCCAACACGCGGTTAATGAGTAACATGTTAGCCCTTGACCCAGTTTATTTTGATTACTTATTATTCTAAAAAGTTGCTCATGCGCATGAAGTCTATCTGCTTTAAAGTTCGACTTATGCATCATATATAACCCATCAAAGTATACATTTATACTCATCCAAATGGTTTCAAAAAATATAAAACAAAGTATATTTTTGGGTTTATATATTCATATTTTTTCTCAGTAAACCTCTATCTCTAGCAAGAAGCACATCTGTTAGTCTCTTTCTGATACGCGCGTCCACGTCAACGCTTCTAGTCCGGTCAAATAAGTTTCCCAGTGATTATATAATAGTTTTATAACAGTTATATCCAGGGCAACCTAGGGGAACCTACTTTATTGCACGCATTTCTACTGGGAGCCTTTTTTTTCTAGCAACCAATGCAACCAACTCTCAATAAAGTAAGTGAGAGTTGGTTGCATTGGTTGCTAGAAAAAAAGGCTCCCAGTAGAAATACCGTAGCCTTGAGTTACGCTGGGGTTTCTTGGCAATCGAAATCAGATTCTAGCCAGAGTCTCTTTCCCGATTTTATTGTATTCTGACAGTGAGGCAAGGGCCAAAGACTGAGTAAGCTGCTCATAGGCTGCACTTCAAGCCCGGCCAAAGCGGACATTGAGTGGTTGATTTACGTGCTCCTAGAGTCCTAGGCGGCCCCTGTGGCTGAGTCGAGTACCTCAATCCAAATTTTGTTAGTGACACCCAGGGGCAAACGTGTCATCGTACGCAAAGTGCTGCACAATAAATCTAATAACCATGATATTCGATAACAATTTAGCCTTGTTATTTAATATTTGGGGCAATTGTACATCGACGGAGTGCAGTTTTAGGCACATATATGGTTCTAAACAATCACTATGACGTGCAAGGAGGCAATAGCTGAGTACGACATTTAAGATCATAAGCGTTAAGAAATATAACAATACAATACGTTGCAGATCCTAAGGCATTATTCTGCTCCGCTAATAAACGGAAGAAACGTGCAAATTTTTTTTGTAGCCCAGGAGTGTCTGAAGACTAGTGTCTGAAATAAAGCTCAAACTCAAGTAATGTCAAATAATTGCCCAACCTTGCAGACCAGCGTCAGCAGCGCCGGTCTTGCAGCTGCTGGAGGTCTCCCCGAAGACGCGCGTCCTGGCGTTCAGGAAGAGCGCCTCGGCGGGCGGCAGCATCATCCACCCCGACGACTGCAGCGCGCGCTCCGTCGTGCGCAGTGACGACGTCAGGTTGTAGAACGTCACGCAGTCGTACTGCGTCAGGTAACTGCTCAGTCAATCATAAGTCACGCAGTCGTACTGCGTCAGGTAACTGCTCAGTCAATCATAAGTCACGCAGTCGTACTGCGTCAGGTAACTGCTCAGTCAATCATAAGTCACGAAGCTTAAGTACTCAATGCTTGTAAAACAAGCTTCATAATTTGGTCATCCTATTCTATAAATTAACTTCCGTTATCAGATTTTGCAATTCGTAAATTATAACTTGTAAAAATTCTTACATCATCACTAATTCTTTATAACTGTGCTGATTGCATGAGTTCAGAATACCAGAAAAATCAATATGTTTTATATCGCATCTCTTGCGATTGTTTCGTCCTAGATTTTGAAGAAAATCAGGCAAATACACAGCAATATACAGTACCGTAATGTAATGTACAGAGTGCATTACGATTAACGCGTATGTATTCGTGGCAATATACGAAGACTGCGAACGAACATAAATGATGTCGATGCTATTTGCATCTGAAGGCCAGGGATACAAGGTAGAAACCCATAGCAAAGTACTTACGCTCTATTTTCTTGTCTATGATTGGTGGATTTGGCTTGAAAAGCCGTCAATGATTATCTGATGAACTTACGATCTCTTAACTTTTTTGAAAGTATGGGCCCTGACCTGTTGAGGGCCTTAAGGAGCCCGACCTGTTGAGGGTCTTAAGGAGCCCGACCTGTTGAGGGTCTTGAGGAGCCTGACCTGTTGAGGGTCTTAAGGAGCCCGACCTGTTGAGGGTCTGGAGGAGCCTGACCTGTTGAGGGTCTGGAGGAGCCTGACCTGCTGAGGGTCTTAAGGAGCCCGACCTGTTGAGGGTCTTGAGGAGCCTGACCTGCTGAGGGTCTTAAGGAGCCCGACCTGTTGAGGGTCTGGAGCAGCCTGACCTGTTGAGGGTCTTAAGGAGCCCGACCTGTTGAGGGTCTGGAGGAGCCTGACCTGTTGAGGGTCTT